TATCTGATACTATTAAACTTATACAGAATTCCAAATCAGGTATGAATAAAAACCACTCTATAAAAACAAAGGCAACACTTTTAAGTAACTTGTGTTTTCTTGGTGGGGAGTGAAGGGACGACCACAGAGCCACGACGACTCTCAATACGACGATTCCTCAATTCCAAACAAAGTGGTAAACAAATGAACTGCCTGCATTTCAAAGACTCTCTTCAAGAGGACAACGGAAAATAGAAGTCAAGAGATAAAATGATACGCTAAGAAAAGGATTTGTGAGTCTCATGCACATGAGCAAATGACTGAAGAAGGCGGAGCACAGTTATTTGCTCAAGACTGGGGCTCTCTTGAAACTTGTCTCTGCAATGGAGTTTCTATCAGAAATAACAGCCTGGAAACAAAGGACTGGGTTAAACTGTGGACAGTATTCCCCAAGGAGTTAGGATTGTAGATTTCTAAGATATTTAGGGCAACTCAGGCTGTTGATAATACTCTAAAACACTAAAGACAATTACAGAATAAAATATTTAGACTTAAGAAAAAGTTAATTTATATTGCAAGGTTATACACTTTACTTTGGCCTGTGTCACATCTGTAAAACTAACATTCACTGTCATAAAATATCAAGGGTTTTAGTCCACCCCCACAACAATCTATTTCTCAAAAACCTTTGTTATTTAAAAAAAACCAAAAAACAAAACACAACTCATTCAAAATGCCCTCAATTGCTAAGGACTATAAACAAGTTAAAAATCAAATGCCAGTGGAACCAGTTGTAACATCACACATTAAATTAAATGCATGATGTCGGGTAACAAAGAATGAATGGGAAAATAGTGAATTAAAGAGTCTATGCTCTAAAACGTTTCCTAAATCCTTGCAAATATCTGGGATCTTAACTGTCTAGATAAACCAGCTAATAAGTATCTGAATTTTTAAGAGAAATTTCTGAATTTTTAAAAGCTGGCAACTAATTACAAAAATTTATATATGGTATAAAATTTGGCTTGGGCTTCCAACTTGAAACTTTTGCTTTAAATAGTACACACAGGATTATGCTGGCAGGCCAAAAAACAAACAAACTATTAAAATGTTGGATTCAATAAGGTTTAAAATCTGCGCCCCCTTACCCCCTAATCACACAGGTGGCATCCTCTGAGGATAACATAACTGGGGTAGAAAGTACCACTCCAAGTTTCAAGTGGACAGTTTTGCAACTCATTTAGCCATGTTGTTTTCTAACTGAAAATCATATCATAATCTTCTAGAAGAGGTTACATTTTATTAACACAAAATGTTAAACACACTAAGAAAAATAAAAGCATTATGTAAATTTGGCATATATTATTATTCTTCTGTGAACTGCAATTGTTTCTTTAAAAAAAAAAATCTGAGATTTTGGTCTTAAACAACTAGAACAAAGAAAGTAAAATGTTTCTCACCATTAAAAGATACTCCACTGCTCTGTCAGGGTTGTTGAAACTGGCTCTCAGGGCTGCAATTACTTGCTCTCGTTCATAGCCCATTGACATGATCTCAGTTACCATGTTCTCGTAAGACTGACCTGTCACTAAAAAAGGTGTGTGTGGGTGGAAGGAGGGGAAAGAAAAAGAACATTTAATAAATAAACACTCTCCTCAAAATTTATTGAGTGCATATATGTACACTACAATGCTAGGAAGAAAAAGATGAGTAACAGTGTAGACTACAACATACACATGGTTGGCAGAATAACCCATCCCCTCCTCATCCCTGGAAACTATGAATATGTTATCATAAGGGTCCTGAAAAGTACGAGGGAGGTAGATGAGAGGGTCAGAGAATTAGAGGTAAGGAAGAGAGGACAAAGGCAGGGTCAGAGATGCTATGCTGCCGCCTTTGATGACAGACGAAGGGGCTATGAGCCAAACAATGTGGGCAGCCTCTGGAAGCTGTAAAGGACATAGAACAAATTCTCCCCTTGAGTCTCCAGGCTCTGACTTTAGCCTAATGATCCAGTCCCTAGATTTTAGTCCAGTGAGCCCCATATCAGACTTCTAACCTACAGTACTATAAGATAATAAATCTGTGCTGTTTTATACTAAGTTGTGGTCACTTACTATAGTAGCAACAGAAAATGAATACAGCGTATGTTTAATAAATATGATAAAAAAAAATCAAGTACAAATGTAGCACACACACAGAACAGAATTAGCAAGTCAGGGAAGGTAACCTGAAGAGACGAACTGATTTTTGAAAAGTAGCAGGGACATTTTAAGCAATGAACTATGCTGTAGTAAGTTCCGTTTTCCTTGACACGTTTTATTATCAAAGCAGGAGGGAAAAGGAGGTTGGAAACTATAAAGTTAGAATGTCCCATACCATAGAAAACTGGTACAACGCCCCAAGCACTATTATCCCTGTAAGTCACTTCCCATAGGTCTCTCCAACCCCGACTCACTCTTCATGGAAGCGTCAGACAACACTGATTTTAAAAAAGCCAACTCTCTCCCACTAAACTTAAACCTACCACACTTAAACCACCTTCTCTCCCACTTGTATTCTGGGTACCATTCCTTTGTTCACCTCCTCAAACAACCAGACCCTTTGGTTGTTCTCTCTTGTCCATCTCCTGTCCTTCTCTGTCCACCTAATTATCCTGATCAGCAGTGAACTATGCCCTAGAACGTCATCCTAAAGACAAAAACATGCCTCCTTGACTGCATCCCTCATTCTCTTTCAGGAACTGGCCATCTGTCTGCTCTCTTCCCTTCACAGCCATAGCTGTCTGCACATGCTGTGTCACTTCCTTACATTTGCTCCCTCCTCAACCAATACCACCAGAATGTGACTTTGGATCTTCCCTCAAATGTGTCCCATCATTTATTATCTGCTCTTCCCATTTCAATTAACAGCACTTCTACACATCCAAGTGCCTGAACCAGAAACCTTGGTGATTTCAATACCCTTTCACCTCCTTCCACATCTAACCTACCAGCATACCTGGGAGGTTCTACCTCTAGACTAGATCCCAAACCTATTTAGCTCCCTCTATCTCCCTGACTTCACTCAAGACTTCACAACAATCTCTGGTCTGGATTACACCCTGTTTCCTCTCCTGCCTCCAAGCCTACAATCCATTCTTCAACCAGTTGCATTAAGTGAGCTTTTAATAGAGAAAACTTAATTTTCATTTTGGGTTCCCAACTTCAACAACCCTCCACACACCACACTCCAACCACACCAATCTCTAGCTTACATCACAGGTCATAGCTGTTCTGACCCCCATAACCTTCACATACACCAGGCTTCGATGGTCAGTTCCTTCACACGCTCCAGTTCTCATTTTTAAAACACTGCAGTCTCAGAGAGGGACTGCCTAACTAGTCTTAGTATAAGTAAGTGACTTTCCTTTTCTTTATGGACACCATTAATTTTCTTAGTATCACTTATGACCTGCAATTTATTCAAAGTTTCAATCTATTTTCTTTCCCCTAACTGAACGCAGGTTCAACTGTGCAAGGGACTGTGTCATTTTTGGGTCACTATTTCCCTGACATAAGGTGACAACATCAGTTGAAAGATTTTTTTTTTCCTGCAGAAGTTTTCTCTTACTTCATATAGTATATTATACTAAAACTCTGTTCTATTCACTCCCCTTCCCTCTACTTTATTGAGAAATAATTGACATACATTACTGTGTAAGTTTAAGGCATAAGTTTGTACCTTTTGACCATCTTCCTCCAATTTCCTCTCCCCCACCCTTTGCCTCTGGAAATCACAAGTCTGACTTCTTTTTCTTTGAATTTTGTTTTGAAGATTCTATGTATAAGTGAGATCCTACAGTATTTGTCTCTGACTCATTTCACTTAGCATAATACCTTCAAGGTCCATCCACGTTGTCGCAAATGGCAGGATTTCCTCATTTTCAATGGCTAATGCACTGATGGACATATAAGCTGCTTCCAAGTGTTGGCTATTGCAAATAATGCTGTGAACATGGGGGTTCATGTACCTTTTCAAGTTAATGCTTCCATTTCCTTTAGATATATTCCCAGAAGTGGAACTGCTGGATCATATGGTAGTTCTATTTTTGAGGAACCTCAAAACACTGTTTTCCACAGTGGCTGCACCAATTTCCACTCTCACCAATAGTGTACAAGGGTTCCCTTTCTCCACATCCTCACCAGCATGTTGCCATGTCTTTTGATGACGGCCATTCTACCAGGCATGAAGTGATATCCCACTGCGGTTTTAATTTGCATTTTCATAAAGACTAGTGTGAGCTTCTTTTCATTTATCTGTTAGTCTTCTGTGCATCTTCTTTGGAGAAGTGTCTGTTCAGGTCCTTTGCCCACTTTTTAACTGGGTTGTTTTTCTGCTATTGCATTGTATGAGTTCTTTATATATTACAGATATTAACCTCTAATTATATATCTAGTTTGCAAATATTTTCCCCATTCCACAGGCTGTCTTTTTACTTTGTTGATGGCAGAATTTTTAATAAAGATATCCAAGAGCTATGAAAGCACAGCTTAAAAACCAAGTGTCACCGAGCAAATCCAGCATCTGATACCTGCTTAATGGCTTTCCCATCCCATAAAGTACTTAAGATATTCTTCTTAATTACCTACTGATATAATTCTAGCACACAGCATTCAAATGTCAATATACTTTCAGTAATCTAGTTCCAGCTACAGAAACCAGCATTAATAATAAATAAAATTAAGAGCTGTGGAGTATCAGAACTGCACTATTTAACATAGTGGTTCTCACTTAAGCCTTGTAAGAACTCTATGAGAAAAGTTAATTTTCCTCTCCTTTTAAAGATAATGAGGCTGAGGCTTAAATAGATTAGTGATGAGGAACTGTATGTACGTCATTAAGAATGAGTTTTAGATTTATCTTCTAGGTTAGGAGGCACTATGAAAGGAACAATGACCTCACTGGATTTGCCTTTCAAAAAGTCCATTGTGGCAGGGAATAGACTAGTTAGACGAAGATAATACAAGAGTTATCAGCAGGGTAAGGGAACGGACTAAGGCAATTAAGTGGCAGTGGAAACAAACACTCCAGAGACTAGAAAGGAGAATCAACAGGACTCCTGGGCTCACTGAGCCAAGAGGGGCTGAAAGTCAAATTACTGGTTGATGCCAATAATTTGGTAGACAGTGGATGACAATGAAAGCAAAGAAGGGAACAAGGAGAAGAATCTGACAGGGGAATAAAAAAAAAGAGTCAATTTGGAATCTAAGGAGTTTGTGGAGCTTATAGGTTCTCCAGTTGGCAGTTTAAAGAATGAGTCTGGGAAGTCACAGGGAGATGTATACTGCCGTTACAGTTCCGGAAATCCTTACAGTATAGCTGACCCTTGAGCAATATGGGTTTGAACTGTGTTAGTCCACTAATTAAGTAGATTTTTTTCCCAATAAACTGCTACTAGTACTACATGATCCATGGTTGGTTGATTCTGCAAATGCAGAACCATGGATATGGAGGGCAGACTGTAAAGTTGTATGGGGATTTTTGACTGTGCAGGGTTGGCATCCCTAACCCCTGAGTTATTCGAGGGTCAACTGGATATGGGTGGTATTTGCCATTCCCAGAGTCTGAACTTTGAACTATGGTCTAGGGCAGAACCACACAAAACCCATACATGGAAGGGCCAGTTTAGACAGAAAGAATTAACTAGAAAGCTTGAGAAGGAATAGTCAGAGGCATGGATCAAGAAAAGAGTGTTGTCACAGAAGTCAAAGAAGGAACATTTAAAGAAGCAGGGTACCAACATAAAGGCTGGATAATTTAAAGATGAAAGAGTAAAGGGATCCCAGGAGCATAAAGCTGAGAATGGCTGCTCTAAGAGATACAAGATGTAAAGGGTAAGGCATCACCACCAGCCTGCAGCAGCAGCGACTCGAGCTGTGGTCTCCGGCTTGGCAGCATCAATGCCTTCCAACTGAAGCAGCAAAGGCGACAGCCAGAGCGTTCAGCAGCACGAGGGGCAAGGGCCAGCTGGCCCCAGCTCTGACAGTACTGAGCACTTTACTGATCTCTAGCTGATCTCCCTGAGCTCTTCCAGCATCTATCCCTGTACAATTTTCTAAGATCAAGCC